TCCTCCCGCTTCTCCCGGCATGCCCCGCAGAGGGATGGATTCTCGGGGCTGGCGGCCTGACATCTCTCCAGCTCTAAGACCTCCCGTTCCAACTGCCCTATCGCTGCATCCCTCCGTCGGCTGGCGCCCCGGGTGTAGTCACGGCAGAAGAGCCAGGCGCGCACCTTCCCCAGGTCCCACCACCGCCGCACCGAGGGAAAGGCACACCGCTGCCCTCACCAGGCCAGCCAGAACTCCCGGAAGGATGCCACGAAGCCCACATCCTCCAACAAGCTGTTGTTAAAATGCCAATAGGCCGGCCCTGACCTCTCTGCACAGAGAGAGACCGTCACGGTGGCTAAGTGATGATCGGAGAATGGGGCCAGCCGGATGCTGGAGGAGTGGGCCCGTGAAAGGTGGAAATGTGATAAATAGATGCGGTCCAACCGGGAGTGTCGTGACCGATGGGCCTCCACCCGGACAAAAGTGAACGTTGAGACGTTGTCCGGGTGATGGTCGCGCCAGATGTCCACCAAGGAGTGATGGTAGACTATCTCCCGGAGGATGTCCGCAGCAGCCAGGCACTGCTCGGTCCCCGAGCGGTCCCGCTCCTCGAGGGTAGTATTAAAGTCCCCGCCCAGGACCAGGCACTCACGAGGATCCAAGGTGCCGAGGAAGGCGGATGCCTGCTGAAAGAAACGCAGCCGCTCCGGGCCCAATGTCGGGGCACAGATGTTGACAAGATTGACCACGAGCCCCTCCATACGGACCCGGAGGTGCAGCAGGCAGCCCGGCACAGCCTCGGCGACCCCCAGCACCTCGGGCCGTAGGTCGGGGGAGAACAGGGTCGCCACTCCAGCCGTACGAACTGTGAGATGGCTAAAGTAGACCCTGTCCCCCCATTCCAGCCGCCAGCTATCTTCGGCAGCCGGATCCATATGGGTCTCCTGCAGGAAAACCACAGAGTACCCCCTCCCAAAGGAAGGAGAGCACCTGGTACCTGCGGAGATCCATCCTACAGCCCCGGGTGTTTAACGTTGTGATGGTGAGAAGTGCCATGAAGAGGGCTGGGGGGGTTCCTCGCCGGCAGGGACGCTCGCGGTTCCCAACGGGCCACGCAACAATCTGTGACCTACCCCGTAGGTGAGTAGAGAGTCACAGAAGAGGCAGACCCGCTGGTAGGACGCGGCAGCCTGCTTCCCAGTCCTTTTACCCTCCCCCATGAGGGCCCTCGCAGCCTGGAGGATTTGATGGAAGTCCCTCCATCGCTGGAGAGCGAGCTGCACCTTGTTACAGGAGCCCCGGACATCCTCAAGGAACTCCCGCAGCTCCTCTCGCAGCGTATGGGGGGGGCCAGGGTCACTAGCCCCAGCTTTCCTCCGGAGGGACCACTGACACAACCCCATGGCCCACTGAAACGGGCAGGCAAGGAGCAGACCCCCGACATGGCGCCCGATGGGCTGGCGCCACGCAGCCCCCCTCAAACCCCGGCTCGATTGGGGGCGGCGGAGGGAAGATAGCAGTCCCTAGTGAGTTGGGACTGGGAAATACAGAGGCCGCTCCCTGTGGGCTATCCTCTAGGAGCGAGGAGATGACGGCCCCAGGGGCAGCAATGATATCACCAGGGGTGGAGGGGACAGGGACGGGGTTGACATCAGAGGCAGGGCAGGGATCCAGAGTGGGAGCAAGGCAGGGGTTGGGTGCAGAGTCTTGGAGAGGGGCAAAAGCTGGATCCTGGGCCCTAATAGCCAGGCCGCTGGGAAATGGCCCCTCTCGATCGAGCTCTGGGAGCTGGGGGCAGGGAAGGGGGCCCTCTGTGATGCTGGGCTCCGGCACAATGGCCGGCGTAGTTGCCATGGCATCTTCAGTGGGGTCCCCGCCCGGGAAGGAGGTCGGTCGCCACTTGCCCATGAGGGGCAGCCCGTGGGGCTCGGGTCCCAGCTGCACGGCACCAGCGGTTGCCTCGGTGGGCTTGGCGGCCAACAGCAGGGTGCCACCCACAGCCGGGCAGATGGAGGAGCCCAGGGAACCCTTGGAGGCGGGAGTAAAAACAGTGGTTAGGAGGAGGGAGCATGGAGAAGGCGGGGCTGGGGTGAGGTTGCTCAGATCGAGGCCCGCTAGCAGAGGGTCATCCTCCCGCTGGGTGACCGGGGTCAGACCCAGGGCCTCAATCTCCTCGTAGATGGAAGGGAACTCTCCTTCCACCACCCCAGAGTTTTCCCCGCCAGTGCCCGAAGCGATGCTTGCGGAACAAGAGGATGTGATGGAAGGCGGGGTCGTTGCAGCCCAGCGAGAGAGGGCTCACGACAGAAATGGGCTTCCCCAGGGTCGAAAGGGCGGGTAATAGGGTGGCATTGGGAAGGAAGGGAGGGACGGAAGTCAGGACCAGGCAGACGGCCAGGTCCTCTAGCGGCTCCAGGGGGGTGAACATGCCCCCCACCGCCAGGCCCTTCTCCACCGCCTCCTGGGTGGCGGCCTCCGATGCTAAGAAGAAGACGACCTTGCCATACATTTTGGAGGCTGCCACAAAATGGCCGTGGGCCCCACCACCCTCGCCAACGCCCGCACGTACGTCTCCACGTGGGGCGAGGCGGGCACCAGGAGGCAACAGATGCCGTGCTTCCTGGTCAAGGTCGGGAAGGGGCCCCGGCCGCTATAGCTGGTAGCGGAGGCGGTGGGTGGGAGAGATGACTTAGCAGCAGGAGGGGGGGCTGCCACCACCTGGGCGTATGCCTCCACCTGGGGGCCGGTGGAGGAGCACCCACAGAGCTGGCGGAGGGAACAGCGGGGCGGGATGCCGCGGCAGGTGGAGGGGCCGTGGCAGTGAGGGCAGTCCCTGCCATGGAAGGGCCTGGTCTTTTTGGCAGGGCCCTTCCCCTTCTTCCTACCCTGGCCCTTTACACTGGTTGGGGGGCTCCCCCAGAATCTGAGGGGGCGAGGAAGGTGGCAGCAGTGGAGGTCACCCCGGTGCCTGCCGCTGCCGGCGCCCTGGCGGGGGCAGTGGTCGGTGGTTTGGTAGCAGCGGTTAGGGTAGAAGTTCGGGGGGCGGGGGGTGATGGAAGGGCAGGTGGGAGAGGGGCAGCTGGGGCTGCTGGAGGGGCCCCACCCGCCATGTCCCCCATCATAATAAGCAGAGAGGGAGGGGAAAACACCAGAGAGAGGAGGGGAAAGGGGAAGCAGGTTGACCACTCCTCCCTGCTAGGCTGCAGGCAGGGGAGGAGGGCACCAAAAGGGGTGGGCTGGACAGGGGGCTATCAAGGGCTCGTGGGGGGCAGTCACTGACTCAGAATGGGAATCCGGCTCCTCTAGCTGCACTAGGGGAGGGGGGTCATAAGAACGTTAGGGGGTGCAGTGAGATGGGGCAAACTCAAACAGGCGAAAGGCACAAGCGCATGGGGGTGGGGCATGGGCACACTGAATAAGGGACCAATCAGGGCAGGGGTACCACATGGAGAGGGGGGAGAACCAGGCTGGAGGTAGGACAGGGAACCAAGGAGCTAGCTTCAGAGGCCCAGCAGCAAGAGCAGCAGTCTCCCTCCTCCCTCCAGGCCAGTTGGGTTCAGCAGAGGAGCAGAAGGCAGTGCTTCTGGCCACTGAATGAACAGTTTTCTGTTCCCTGACTGACCAAAGCAGGGGCTGCTCCAGGCTAATGAGAACACCTGACTCCAATTAACCTGCAAAGAGTCAGGTGAGGCCATTAAGCTAATGTGACCACCTGACTCTAATTAAGGGCCCTCTGATAATATAAAAGGGCTCACTCCAGTCAGGCAGGGAGGAGCCAGAGGAGAGGAAGTATGGCTGAAGGGCTGGTTAATGAAGACACCCTCAAGTCATTGGTAAGGGAGAAGCAGGAGAGCTGTGGGGAAGTGGCCCAGGGAAAGGTAGCAACTCTGGCAGTGAAAGGTTGGCTGCCAACAGCTGCTACCATTGGGGTCCCTGGGCCGGAACCCAGAGTAGAGGGCGGGCCCGGGTTCCCCCCAATCCACCACTACAGAAACACCTCCTGGGAGGGGAAAACAGGCCCCTGTCAGGACAGGAGGCTAAACTGTTTGGTATGAGGCCAAACCTCCTTGCTGGCTTATGATGAAAAGGGCTCAGTAGACTGTATCCCTGGCCCTGGAGAGAGAAGGGCTACATGGAGGGTTGCAGTGAGCCTCTGAGGCTAGCATAAACCGCCTGGATGCGCGGGACCCACAGGGACAAGATCGGAGCTCTGCCACAGTAGATACACGCAGATTTTATATTCAATCAAAAGTTATTCAGGAAAATGTGTTTTTCTCAGTAACTGGGAAATTACAATGGACAGTCAATTTTTTTGCTTTAGAGCTGCACCAGAACCATAACATATGTTGGTTTATATATAAATATAAAAATGGCTGCCTTGGAGGAATCAGTCTGTTTTTTCATGGAAATGAGTAGTCGTGTTTTTAAAATGCCCGCATAGTAGAATGTTGCTGATTCACACTTTGCAACACACAAGTATGCACAAAAATGTTACTTCTTCCCATTTCTCATCAAGGTTTTCACAGCAGTCTGTTGTAGTAAGGTCTCTGTTTAAGGCTGTATTCTTTACAAGATATACTAGAATACATTTTTGCACATGATGAAGTATTACTATAAATATTAAAACTGAACTACACTTGTCAAATTAAATGAGCAAAGAACATTAAAAGAACTAAACAGTATTATCCTGGTATCCTTTATTGTATCTGTCACTTGGGACCTCGGCTCATATTTCTGATGCAATTAAAACTCCGAATGAAGCCACTGACTTTTGTAGTATAAGGGATGAAGGATTCAGCCCTTACTAATTACAAAAACTCAACAGTTCATAGGGGGTGCCCATCATTGGTGCAAATCACTGAGGTTCTGATGTCATTTTGCACCTGATAAACTTCAATGGCCTATCATGTAAATGTTGTATTTACTAATTAAATCTATTTCAGCCACCCACTGTAAAGCATCTGGAGTTAACTTTATAGTCTATTAGGTAAAAAGAGAGGGAGAAACTCATTACTTACCTTCACCAATTCAGTATTACCAGTTTCCTTTGCTGTCCACCAAGGCTGAGCTTTTAGTCCATTAACATTGTAGAGAGAGCGCTGCCAAACTGATGCAAAGTGTCCTCTCTGGTGCCCAAGCTCATACCACCTGTATGCCTAGCAGATTGCAATTGTTAACAAACAATTTACATCAGCCCAACTTCAGCAGAAAAGAATAATCTTAAAAAGGCATTTCAACACCTCTGAATGACACTCCCTCTTGACAAAGCAACAGGCTTCCTAAAGGAGCATCATTTTATCCTTTAAGATAGCCTGGTAATAAGCACTTAAGAAAAAAATAGAGTAGATAGCTCGAGTCAACCAAAGTTGTGAGACATTCCAGTCTGTAGTCACCAAGACAGGTGAAAATCAACCCATGGTAATTCACTGTTCCAATAGTTCAGGGGCTAACCTTGGACATGAGAGACTTGGGGGTTCAATCCCTTGCTCCACGTGAGCAAATCACTCCCCCCCCCCATCCTCAGTTCCCCATCCATAGAACAGGGATGACAGTACTTCCCTAGCACACAGGGATGCTGTGCGGACAAATACCATAAAGACTGTGAAGCACTCAGACACCATGGAACCAGGGGCTTTGTGAGAGGGGAATCCTGATTCCATACTAGCCAACACACCACACTCACCAGACCAGGAGGTGACCCCCCGAAATTCTCCCTGCTCTCCAGTCCCCTCTCCAAGGCTTCCCTGCTCAAGGCAGTGCTGCCAAGAGCCCCTCTCCCAGACCTCCTGAAACAGAGGACCCACCCTGCTTGCCCACCCCTCTTCTACCATGCCTCAGCCACTCCAAGCCAGCTGGGGAGCAGAGATTGAGGCAGGGGAGAAAGATCAGCTGGTGCCAGAGAGGAGACCCAGCTCCAGCATCCTGACTGCCCAGCATGGGAACAGTAACCCCTAGAGGCAGGGGCTGACTGGCAGCTGCCTTCTCCCCACCCAGTTCCATATGACTGTGCACATTTTGATTTATTGAATCAATTATAAAGACCCATTTGATTGCAGCCAGTGTGCCACAGTTTGCTAACCACTGCTCCACAATAAATCCTGTCTAACTCTTATGCTCTTGCTTTGGTCTGATCCTGCAAGCTTGACCTCAGTGGGACTACTCACATAAGCAAGGAATCGTAGGCTCTCACCCTCTATCAGCAGGCAAGGTTAATTTTGCCTTTTTCTGCCACTAAAGTACAGATCCAAGGAGAAGAAAAGATGATCTACTCCAAAGAGAACTCACCAGAAGGTGGAACACTGCGTGTGTTTATGATGTTGTATTAATTATTATTATTATTTGTATTCCAGTAACACGTAAAGGCCCCGGTTAGGCACTCTGTGCTAGACTGTACAAACATAGAATAGAAAACAGTCCCCTTATCCCTTCTGTTACAATGAATCCCTGGCTGTACACAGTAACTACAGTCATCTAGTAAATTGCACACATATGGCACAAAGGACGAACACCCAAGATTGTTTGCAGTAGAAATACAGATGTTTAACATTTAAGCGAAAGGACAATCACTTTTGGTTCTCTCTGTAGGTAAGCTTATAGACAAAAATGAATACAATCCAACTAAGCACATTTGACATTCCATCCAGTATAGGACAGTAATGCCAGCATATTAAACTGCCCCAAAAAGCCTAGAGAAGTAGAAACAAAAATAGAAGTGTTTCTTGTACAGGAATCAGATACTACAGTACTGCATGCTTTGACTTAATCTTAGCCATCACCGATTAAAGAAGCTATTGGATTTCTTCACATAATGGAATTCCTTCCTAAAAAATCTGATGTGTCATTTTAACCAATTACTTAATACACTTTTGTTCAAATAAAAAAAGTACTTTACACTTTAGTGGCTGAGTTGGATTTCAAAGACAAGTTATTAAGCAACCATCAAGGACTATGAAACCAGAGAGAATTATTTCTTTGGAGGTCTATGTTTAAGTTTTCATCACTCTTAAAACGTTGGATGATACTCTGGTGTATAAAACTCTGATCTATGAAGGATAGAATTGCTGCAAAATGTGCTCTTACAGTAAATGTATAAAGCACTGAAAAGCCGTGTTGACAAATAGAATAACAGTGGACAGCCTTGGAGCTTTTCCTTTTGATTGCTACAAAATATTACAAGTTTCTGAGAGGAGATTTTTAAAATTGTGTCTTTAGGTATGGATCATAAAAATGTTATGTATTACCTTGGGTAATCTCCAGTATATCTTTATAGTTTAAGTTTATCTGGGTTAAGCCTCTGAAATGGAAACAGGATGATTTTTTAACATATGTTCCTCAGCCTGTAGTTGTAACAACTATGACTACTAGTAGACTTTACATGCTCATTTGCAATATACCTAAAGCTAGCCCAGGTGACAAGAGTTTGAATTACCTGTTTGAACTACTGACTGTGGAGAGAGATCACTAGTGCTATTTATGTGTAGGGATGTATATTATTGTTAGCCCATATTAAAAACATTTTTATTTCAAATACATCTGTCAATGTCGGGAAAGATTAGACGGAGCCCACTCTATAATTTAAGATAGCTGCAACAATAAACAATGTTTTCCAGTTGATTAATAGTCTGATAATTACTTAGTCCATATAGTCCCCATGAAAAATCATTTTCTCCACTTATTCTTTACATAGTACTTTCCATTTATTTTATATTTTTTTAATTCAGTGTGCCATCTTATAGGATTATTTGAGTTGGAAAGAGCCTATTCTACTCTACCCCCTGCAATTTACCAAAGATGAATTGCTAATTTAGCCCTAATAGATGAATGTCTACTTTCTGTGATGACAATTCCGTATGTTCCTTATGTACTGATCTCTTTCCTTGATTAAATCTTGAAGTTCAGCAAGTCTAGCAAGGCCAGTGAGAAAAAGTTAGATTAACAGTGGACTTTCCCATTGTGATAAATTTAACAGTCTGCTCTACCCCAAGAAGTTCATTCATCATTGATTAGATCTTTTTCTACAGAACTTTGGCCTTCAACTCCATATACATTAGTACAAATCCCTACTTGGGAATTAGGATGGTACAAATTAATTGTGTCTGTGTGGTATCGTTAGCCACACATAATAATTTAGTCCTCTAGTATAGTCCTTACAAGCAGGATTCTTCTTCTTCTCCTTAATCTTCTCCACTTTGAGCATAAAAGCATTTCAATTTTGTTTTATTTATATATATATATTAGTACAAATACAAATTAGTAAATATATATATAAAGGGGAGGCCAACTAATTCTTATTTGCAAATTAATTTTTAAATCCACAAGAATTCAGCAGAGGGATATTTTATTAAACTTCCACAGGAGATAGCCCAACTTTAAAAATTGAGGTGCTAAAATATTGTCACCTGGATCTGGAGATTTAGCTTCAGTCTAATTGTTCCATGAGGAGTTATAATCACAGTTCTATAAGATTTTCATAAAATAATTGAAGGTCAGTCATATTTGGTTATCTGGTTCCAGTTAAGATCACAGCCAAAATCTGATTATAGCCACTGGTTTATGTTGACTACAGAAATGCCATGAGCAGATTCATTTGTTCCAATGATTGGATATAAGATACACAAGAGGACTGCATTTCTAAAATGGCTTGAATGTCAATGCCTCTGAAATATTTTTTGTATCACTGATAAACAACACACAAATAGAAAACTTCTTGTTTTCAGCTGTCCATATTCCTTATCAAAGAAACTTTTTTATTTTCCTGTCAATATTAGGATTCATAGTTTAAAAAATACCCAGGTCTTCTGATTTCCCCACAAAAGAAGTAGGGCTAATCCACATGTGTAACTTTGAATATACTAAATTCAATAAATCAGAAGCTCTCTTGGTTTCCATCATATTTTGTGCGCATTATGTCCTGAAGAAAAATCCTCAATATTTAAACAAGGATCCTATTTTACTGATCTGCCTGCTAATTTAACACATGAATGATTACAGGAAACCAATGCACTGGTTCCAAGTCCTGCACTACTTATATGTCTGTTGCAGTGAGAGTCCTACTCCCATTGTTGAGGTCGAAGGGAGTTTGTTACTTTGAACCTGTGAGCAAACATGCACACATACTATATTCATCTATTTTTGTCCCTGGGGGAAAAGTTCCTGTAGTCCAGAGTTGGTTCTACCTTCAGTGGTAGCAGCATATCTTTTAGTCAAACACAGACTTATTAGTCAAAAATTTCACTCATTGAATCTGTGAATTCCTCTGGCTGCCCTGCCTACTCCTTGATTTGCACTGGTTATCTTTCTGTGCCCTTCCCTTCCGCTCCGGTGGATCAGGATTTAACAATGGGTTGCTGTGCACCCACACTTCAGGCAGACTTTCTGCTGCTGATGTCTTACAGTCTGAGCACCACCACACTCTAGGCTGTTAAACCAATGGGACTATTCACGTTCCCAATGTTACGACCATGCTTAGGTGCTTTTCTGGATTGGAAAAAGAGCGCTCAGCACCTTGCAGGACTGCATTTTTTAGAATAAGGGATATGTAAGACTCGTACCTCTTTGCTTCCAACTCTCTGCAGGGCATCACCTAAATGAAAATAAAAGCGTCCATCATCAGTGCCAGGGTCACCAGACTCTAGGCCTTCCTAGAGAAAGAAATAAAAAGAAACACCAGTAAAACTGAGTTAATTTAGCTGTTACAGTAAGGTGTCCATTCAATCCAAGAAATAGACATGTAAAATATCACTAAATAAATATATACAAGTAAAATTATTTGTTATCCTGGAATTTAGGTTCATAGAATCATAGAAGAATCATGGAAGATTAGGGTTGGAAGAGACCTCAGGAGGTCATCTAGTCCAACCCCCTGCTCAAAGCAGGACCAACCCCAACTAAAGCACCCAGCCAGGGCTTTGTCAAGCTGGGCTTTAAAAACCTTTAAGGATGGAGATTCCACCACTCCTCTAGGTAACCCATTCCAGTGCTTCCCCACCCTCCTAGTGAAATAGTTTTTCCTAATATCCAAACTAGACATCCCCAACTGCAACTTGAGACCACCGCTTCTTCTGTCATCTGCCACTACTGAGAACAGCTTAGCTCCATCCTCTTTGGAAACCCCCTTCAGGTAGTTGAAAGCTGCTATCAAATCCCCCATCACTGTTCTCTTCTGCAAACTAAATAAGCTCAGTTCCCTCAGACTCTTCTCGTAAGCCATGTGCTCCAGCCCCCTGATCATTTTTGTTGCCCTCCGCTGGACTCTCTCCAATTTGTCCACATCCTTTCTGTAATGGGGGGCCCAAAACTGGATGCAATACTCCAGATATGGCCTCACCAGTGCCAAATAGAGGGGAATAATCACTTCCCTCGATCTGTTGGCAATGTTCCTACTAATGCAGTCCAATATGCCATTAGCCTTCTTGGCAACAAGGGCACACTGCTGACTCATATCCAGCTTCTCGTTCATTGTAATCCCCAGGGTCTTTTCTGCAGAACTGCCACTTCGCCAGTCAGTCCCCAGCCTGTAGCGGTGCATGGGATTCTTCTGTCCTAAGTGCAGGACTCTGCACTTGTCCTGGTTGAACCTCATCAGATTTCTTTTGGCCCAATCCTCCAATTTGTCTAGGTCACTCTGGACCCTATCCCTACCCTCCAGTGTATCTACCTCTCCCCGCAGCTTAGTGTCATCTGTGAACTTGCTGAGGGTGTAATCCATCCCATCATCCAGATCATTAAATGAAGATGTTGAACAAAACCGCTTGATACTGGCTGCCAACTAGACATTGAGCCATTGATCGCTACCCATTGAGGTTGAATGAATAACACTTACTTCAGTCAAAAAAAATCTTAGAAACACTGTGGTTTTTTCAACTGCATCTTCCTTCACAGCCCTCCCCCACAAAAGGTTTTTTGTTTTTTTTTAGGAAGCCTGGAAATTCCAAGACAGGGTTTCACTTTACAAACTTTCCTCCCAAACATTCAAAAGTATGCAGATGAATAATTTGGATTACTCAAGCAGCTTAAGGTTGGCCCCATACTGCCAATCTCAAAACAATCAGAAACTCAAACCTGTCCATCACATAAGATCATTCATTAGTGACCAAGGAAACATTAATACTTTATGCTTGAATCTTGGATATATAAAGGTGTCTCACTTTACAGATCTGTGCAGTTATGAATATATTCTGGGGTAGTATAAATAGTTATTTATAACTATTGTGCTTATAGCTAAACCCGTGTTATCACAATTCCCCCTCCCCCTTTTCTACCATTTTTCTACCAGTAAAATGTATTTTTCATGAAAGAAAGAAAGAAAGAAAGAAAGAAAGAAAGAAAGAAAGAAAGAAAGAAAGAAAGAAAGAAAGAAAGAAAGAAAGAAAGAAAGAAAGAAAGAAAGAAAATAAATGACTAATACGGGAATTCCACCTTCAAATATGGAATGCTCTCTACTATCTTGTTTTCTGCCTTGAGGATGAAGCCATAATGTACTTTAGCGAAGCCATCATTTGGAGCCAGACTCAGGACCTGTTTTAAAGCAAATAAATAATGATTACATATTCATTTATGCATTTCTTTTCAAAATTAATTTAGATTGCTCAGAATGTGACAGACCAACAATCGTGTTAGGATTTTGTGGTTTAAACAAACACTATCATCTGCTAACAACTCTCTAAGAATCACTTGACTTGGTCAGGTTTTTCCAGGCTCCTTCATGACATTTTGGTATCTCACTACAATAATTTATGTGTACAGTAAAACAGCGTCAAGCACATCTTTATAGTTAGAAATCACAAGCTGCACAAATTAACATTATCTGCACGTATCTTAGCAGTTCAGCTACATTTCTTTATTTTCTTTTCCTCCCCCTCATGTCTCATAGAGCATGTCGTCACTGCAGAATTAACTTGAGTAATCTACACTCAAGTTAATTCTCTTGAGTTAGCCTTGTTCAAGTGCGAGTGGCCACATTGTAAAATAACTTTTCAGCTACGATGACCACACTGCACTCACTCGTGTGTGGTGTGAAGACTTCTAGGGGCATATCCCATGGTTCTCTGCACTGCAGCAAACAGAGCTGCTCTATGAATTTTTTCCTAGTGAGTTGTGGGATAACTTATTTGTCCTTTCCTTGGCACACAGAGGGAATTACATCACTCAAGTGGAGCTAGCCTGTGTCCTCACTGCAGCATGGCTGTGTTACCATGTGACTGACAAGCTGTGCAAACTCAAGCTATAGCCTATAACGCCTGACAGGCTAGCCCACTTGAGTTGAAAGAACCACCACATTCAAGTTAAAGGGTTTTTGTGTGTGGATGAACTTGAGTTGGGGGCAATGCTCAAGTCTGCAGTGAAGACAAGCCCACAGACAATAGAGAAGTGAGATGTTACTTGGGATAGATTGAAGTGGCTTGGAGAATAGGCTTAGAGAGGATATTTGTGACCGAGGGACCTCTTGGTGTCCGCTGACAGAGGGCACTGGGGTGCACAGAGGTTACAGGGATCTTTGGGTCTGGTATCTACATAGTAGTTCATCGAAGCATGTCATATAAGGTATGTATAAAAGTCTGTCATACTGGTCCTCAATCATTGTAAAATGTGTATACAGAGAATATGTAAGGAGTTATGTTTATATACTGAAACTTATGTTCTTCAGGTCTGTGGCTTAGGGCAAAAAAGTTAAGAAAAGTTTCTTTCAGGCAAGAAACCTTTATCTGTCCGTCTATATGCAAACTGAGTATCGTATGGTTCCCAATGGACACACATTACCGTCTCAGCAAAATGTTAATCAAGTGATCGTAAAGTCTCCAGGGGAGGCCCTAGACAGGAAAACACAAGCGGTAGGGGTTATCCTGTCACAAGTGCGGACAATGGATTTTTCAACTATAACTGTAGAGACAAAGAAAGTATAAATCTTTCCACTGAGGAGGCAAGAGTACAGCGTGGTTGTTTCATGAACGGAAGATCACAGCCAAGCCTTACTGCAGTATGCTGGAAGAGCTTTTGCTCTTGACATGGCAATATTTTATTAGTTAAGTGTAGGCTTTAGTATGCATGTTATGATTTGATTTCAAATGTAGCCCTTTGTTTCCAGTACTTCTGCTTGCTATCATTTGACTCTCTGGTCTTTGTTCAATAAACTTATACTTGCTTTCTCTATAAACAAATTTAAGTGCTATATGTTAGGCAGAGCTGAGTTCTATGGTGTAACTGGCAAACCGTGGGTACCGTTCCTTTGAGAACAGGCCCTCTGGGAATTCTGTGAGTGCCCAGTGGATCAGGGCTGGACATTCCAGAGAGATGCTGGAGACTGCTTGGAAGACTCAGGAGTTGGAAAGTGCCTATCATTAACCTGTAACGAGACAGCAGGGCCTGTGGAAGTCTAGAGAGTACTGTAAATGTTGCCAGAGGCTGGTGGTGTTTGGGAGCTGACCCACAGACAAGGCTTCCTCTGGCTAAGGGCAGGTGGTCACAGTATTGTATGCATCTTCTCATCCCTGTAGAATGGGAGTGTTTTAAGCAAAGGGTGAAGTATGAAGAAGGTGGGTCTAAGCTCCAATACCCTCAAACTACACTCACCACTTTCACCCTTCTCTATTTTTTTGAGACTAATTATGTGTTTACTTTAGTGTCATGTGTGGTAATATATGATATCAATTACGTTCTTAAGTCTGTCTTTTGTTACAACTTCTACAACTTCCATTATTTTAAAGAGTGAGAGGAATGGGCATGGACACCAGGACAGATCCTCAGCTTAATCAGCAGAGCTCCGTGGATATCAATGGAGCTATGCCAATTTACACCAGCTGAGGATCTAGCAGAGTGACCAAATCTGGGGGCCTGTATACACACCAGGGGCTACAGCAGCACAGTTGCTGTTCTAGCACCGTAGCCTAGGCGTTCCCTGCATCGAGGGAAGGGGGTTTTCCACTGATGTAGGTAATCCACCTCCTCACATGGCAGTAGCTATGTGGATGGAAAAATTCTTCAATCGACCTAGCCATGTCAACACTGGGAGTTGGGCTGGCTTAACTATGGCACTCAGGGACATAGATGATGACTCCGTGGGAGCTCTGGGGCTGGAGCACCCACAGAAAAAAAAATAGTGGGTGCTTAGCACCCACCTGCCAGTCAGCTGTTCTGCAGTGGGCAGGGTGTGCTCAGGGGAGGGGGCAGAGAGGGGGCAGGGCCTTGGGGTGGAGCACCCACCCGGAAAAATGAAAGTCAGTGCCTGTGCTCAGAGAAGTAAATTTTTCATACCCTGAGCAATGTGGCTAGGTTGATCTAAATTTTAAGTGTAGACCAGGGCTAAGGCAATAGCAAAGCCTTCCATATTTTAAAAATGCAGTTATAGAACTACAGTACAAAAACATTCCTGAAACTACTAGTTATGTCAGTCCTTAGCAATGCACATACATGTTTCACCCATATACTCCTGTGTCTTTTCCAGTAATTGTCTCACAACACACAATCCTGCCTCTTAAAAACATCTTTGGGCAAGTACCTTCTCTTCTTTCCTTTGGATTAGATTCTGTGCTCTTTTACACCTCATATAATTATTTTTTATCTGTGCCCTCTAGTTTGGCAGTAGACAAAGTAGACAAAAAGTAGAAAAAAATCTACATTCAGGACCACTCCAGGAGAGTGATCCAATAAAAATCAGCAGAAAGTACACTTGAAGCATTTATTGTAAATTATATTAACCTGTTGCTATTGTTGCATACAATATTAATTATGCTTAGAAAGAAGTTATGCTAAATTGCTCCTCAGGGGCTATTCAGAATAATAACCAATCAGTGGCACAAAGGGGCAGACAGAATTTGCCTTCAGATCACTTGCTCTGTAAGTGAGGAATTCCTTGAAGAGTGTTAAATCATGATCTGTAGACCTTTGAAAACAAACAAATCTGTGACTCCTCCAAAGATTGCTTTTAATGCACTCTTCCTGAATTCCTAAATATAACATTCAAAGGAAGGGGGGGAAAATTGAAATCCTATTTCTTAACATTCCCTTCCAGCAGTGGTACGGGGACAGCCTGATAAAATAGGGCATATTTCCCATCAGATTAAAGTCTAGTTATAGACATAAAAGTCTTTTAATTCAAGGTATGATGTTTAGGTTCATCATCTTTGAAGTGAAAAGAAAGGACATGTTGCACATAAGCCGATCACCTCTGAAATCAAAACCTGACTGTACATGCCACTTCTTATGGAAAACTTTGAAAAACTGATTTTAAAACAGTGCTGCTTATCTCATTTTCTGAATCCAACTCCGCTGTTACAAAGATGATTCAACTTCAGTGGCAAATAAGCAGAGAAGAGGGAAAATGGAAATCTGCCAAGACTCAAATTCAGATTACTTTATTTTCTTTGCAACAGCTAATGACATGACTACCACCTAATATTTGCAAAGAGCAGCATTCATTTTCTTAGGGGATGTCATTCATTGTTGCAAGAAAACACCTACAGCCCTAAAATCAGGTCACTGCTTGAAGTAAGAAATGATTTTCAGCAATATTCTTTTAAAATGTAGCTATTTAGAATTACATCAGTATATTCCATTACTGATTTAGGATTTTAGGACTTGATCCTCTGTAGTGATGAGTGCCTCTTTGTGACTCCAAGTGAAATCTTGTGACCTTTTTTAACAAGCTCTAACACCTACACTGTTTGCAACATGCCATTGAAATTCAGAAGGAAGTCTCTAGTCCAAGGTCCGTCATGTCTTTTCACTGTTCTATGATATTCTGTGCAGATTTGGCTGAGATACCAACTATTAAAAATTGCCATTTTTTTCATCTCACTTACGTTCTGTAGGAAAACGTTGGCAGCATGCCAAAATAATAACGGAACATTAACCTTCTAAGGCAGGGTTTATATAAGATGCCAAAGCAGCAGCCACAGCAAACACTGTGCTGAGAACACCTGGAAGGTGGGGACTGGAACTGGTCTCCTTGCTCCGACCACACCCTTCCCTAAACATGACATCCAGCTCCAGCAGCTCATCGATCCTCTGGGGGCACCACATGGGGAAGGAGCTCCCTTTACCTCCCAGGAGAGTGGGGGAGACAGAGCTGTGCAAGGTAGAGCAACAATTTTATTTGCTACAGTAGCAACTGACTACCCTGTGGACCCAGCACAATGCACCAACAGCTTAGCCTATTCCTCACTTTGGAGAACAGCCTTCTCCTGCACTGGCCAACCTAGTTAATCCTGTAGCTCGGGTGGTCCAACAAGAGCACCAGCATCTTCAGGGGAAGGACAGGGCCTCCCCTCACTCAGCAGGGAACAGCCTCACGCAGCCTGAGCTCTGGAAGCTTCTGACCTGCCAGACCAGATGAAACTCCACACATGGTGGGAGGGGTTTCCTGCTTTCTCTGCCATGTGGCTAGGGAAACCGTCCCAGATGGGTGGAGCTTCTACCAGGATATTCAACTAAAGTGTGAAACAGGTAAGCAGCATCAATCCTAGTGAACAAAACACCACATAAAATACATGATTAAATTGGCACTTGTGTTGGCAGTCTGAGCAAAGACGACAAGGTTTGAAAGGTCAGAGATTGAACCACTCTATCACATCCCTAATGCCCTACCAAATTCATGGTCCATTTTGATCGATTTCTTGGCCAAATGTGGTCAATTTCACATTTTCAGATGTTAACATTTGAAATTTCATGATGTTGTAACTGCAGGGGTCCCAACCCAAAAGGAGGTGGGATGGGGGGGGGGGCAAAGCTGTTGTAGGGGGGTTGCAGGATTGCCACCCTCACTTCTGCACTGCCTTCATAGCTGGGCTCTGAAGACAATACCTGTGGAGCTTCCTGCAGCCGGGGGAGGTTCACAGAGGTCAGTCTGATCTCCCCCGTGCTACTGGGAGTGCCTCAGCCAGGGGTTCCTAGACGCAGCCAGGCTGAGGAGAGACAGGACTTCCTTTTCCCCTACACGGCCGGGGGAGGGATCAGACCCACCTCTAGGGGCTTCCTGCAGCCGGAGGAGGTACCCAGAGATAAAGGTGGGTCTGATTTCCTCCCGAGAGTAGCTGTGCAAGAAAAGAGGAAGTCCCATCCCTCCAGAACCCAGCTGATTAGCAGCTGGAGCCCGATGAACAGTAGATGCCCCAGCTACGGCACCCCCAGCCCTGCCCATCCTCCTTCCCTCCAATAGCTAGATTTCACGGGGGAAGTCTGATTTCACTGTCCGTGAAGTGTTTTTCACGGCCGTGAATTTGGTAGGGCCTACACATCCATCTCTCCAGAACAGGGCTGAGGCACATTGGCAGAGCAAAGTAAGGGGTCTGTGCTATGTTCTGTCCTATAGATAATTAAAAGTCTTCACCTCTCATCATGAGTGTTAGATTCCTATGTACATTAGTATATAAATACACACACAGCTGGTTACCCTAAGATATAAGGAGCCAATTTATGTTAATCATGTGAAAAAGTTTCACCTGAACTTTACTAGTCTATAAAGAAGAGGAATATTTGATTAACCAATTTAAAATCAACTATTCATGAGAAAAGTGTTATTTATGTTAACCCGTAAGAGCCATACATATACATGATTTGTTTCACAAAGCATTAAGGGAGTTAGTAAGCAAAATTTTGAATAAATATATTAACAATGTATTTTTTTTTCTCAATTGATATGAAATGGAAGCTCACCTCCTCATAAACTTTCTTGGCATTACTGTTATCTCCTATTAAGAGGTAACCCACTCCAAGATCATTCTTCAATGAGATATCATTGGGAAACAGATGAACTAGTTTCTGAAGAGTAACCAGAGAACCTCTCATGTGACCTAATTTGATTGAACAAAAGTGAATTATAACAATTGTAACAAGAAATAAATGCTGATCAAAGAATTGTGTCCCCATCTTTCATTAACGATCACAGATCATAGATCATAGATCTTCATTACATATGAATACATTTAATTAGCCCATTCTCACCTTACAAGCAATACCTAAGAAATCTCCGATGGTACTGTACATATCTTCCAGGGTTATGGGAACCTCTAGTGGACAATTCTATGTATGGCAGTAATAGTAAAAATACTTTACACTTTTGTAGCTATTCTTCTTCTGCAGATCTCAAAATGCTCCACGAAGTCAGGAAAGCACTTTAACTTCAAGTTTTGGCCCTGATAAATCAAATCATTTAAGCATGTTCTTAACTAAGCATGTGAATAGTTTCGTTGAAATCAATTGTCTCACATGCTTAAAATTAAGTATGTGCTTCACTATTTTCCTGCACTGGGATCTTCCTGAAGAACAGAAAAGTTAAGAGCAAGTCAATCCTGAAAACTGATCCATCTGGATGGACTCTTATGCCTATTAAATCAGTCTGACTTTGTATATGTTTAGGGGTCAGTTTTGATCATCACAGGACTGGGACCTAAATTTTCAAAAGTGCCCTCTAGTTTGGCAGCTTCAGTTTTTAGTTTTCTACAGTGTGAACCCACAAGTCCAGCTGAAATCAGTGGGAGATACTGGTGCTGCCATCTCTGAATGTCAGGCCATTTGAGTCTAAAGTTAAGCAACTTAAAAACTGAGGCACTCAACATTTATTTTTCAAAATGTGTGCATAAGGGATTCCTTTCAAATCATGTTGCATCAGTGCCAGTGTGACTGAGCCTCTGTCTCCTGACTCCCAGATCTTCACTCATTCCACTAGACCACATCTTCTCTCTAGTGAAGGAGTACTTGTGGCACCTTAGAGACTAACCAATTTATTTGAGCATGAGCTTTCGTGAGCTACAGCTCACTTCATCTGTAGCTCACGAAAGCTCATGCTCAGATAAATTGGTTAGTCTCTAAGGTGCCACAAGTACTCCTTTTCTTTTTGCGAATACAGACTAACACGGCTGTTACTCTGAAACTTCTCTCTAGTATAATACTTGTGGGGTGAGGGGGCATAAATAGGTTGAATCCCACAATCCTATGGGAGCTTGAGCTTAGAATTTCTCTCTTTATTTTTTTAAAAAGTCAAAATTCCAAAACTCCCCAGATTTTTTTTAGGGAAGGGATTTTAAATAGGGCTGTCAAATGGTTAAAAATATTTATTGTGCTGTTAACCAATAATAGCATACCATGTATTTAAATATTTTTGGATGTTTTGCACATTTTCAAATATATTGATTTCAAATTCAACACAGAATACAGAGTGTACAGTGCTCACTTTATATTAATTTTTAGAATAAATATTTGCACTGTAAAAATAAAATAGTATTTTTCAATTCACCTAATACAAGGACTGTAGTGCAATCTCTTTATCATAAAAGTTGAATTTAAAAGTGTAGAATTATGCACAAAAGAACCTGCATTCAAAAATAAAACAATGTCAAACTTTGCAAAAAGAAAAGGAGTACTTGTAGCACCTTAGAGACTAACCAATTTATTCGAGCATGAGCTTTCGTGAGCTACAGCTCACTTCATCGGATGCATACTGTGGAAACTGCAGAAGACATTATATACACACAGAGACCATGAAACAATACCTCCTCCCACCCCACTGTCCTGCTGGTAATAGCTTATCTAAAGTGATCATCAAGTTGGGCCATTTCCAGCACAAATCCAGGTTTTCTCACCCTCCGCCCCCCTCCAAAAACCACACACACAAACTCACTCTCCTGCTGGTAATAGCTTATCCAAAGTGACCACTCTCCCTACAATGTGCATGATAATCAAGGTGGGCCATTTCCAGTACAAATCCAGGTTTTCTTACCCCCCCCACCCCAGGAAATGGCCCACCTTGATTACCATACACATCGTGAAGAGAGTGGTCACCCTGGACGGGCCACCACCAGCAGGAGAGTGAGCCTGCCCATGGGGGGGCGGAGGGTGAGAAAACCTGGACCTGCGCTGGAAATGGCCCAACCCGATGACCACTCCAGATAAGCCACCACCATCAGGAGAGCGAGCCTGCGTGTGCATGGAGGTGGGGGGGCGAGAGAACCCGGACCCGTGCTGGAAATGGCCCACCCTGATCACCATGCACATCGCAGGGAGAGTGGCCACCCCGGACAAGCCACCAACAGCAGGAGAGTGAGTCCGTGCGTGCGGTCCCTGGAGGGGGGCGAGGGAGCGAGAGAACCCGGACCTATGCAGGAAATGGCCCACCCAGACCACCACACACGTTGCGAAGAGAGTGGTCACCCCGGATGGGCCACCACCAGCAGGAGAGCGAGTCCGTGTGTGGGGGGGCGGAGGGCGAGAAAACCTGCATCCGTGCTGGAAATGGCCCAACCCGATGATCACTCCAGACAAGCCACCACCAGCAGGACAGTGGGGTGGGAGGAGGCACCGCCCCCTGGTCTCTGCGTGCACACAATGTCCTCCGCAGCCTCCACGGCACGCATCCGACGAAGTGAGCTGCAGCCCATGAAAGCCCATGCCAAAATAAACTGGCCAGTCTCCAAGGCGCCACAAGCACTCCCCCTCCCCCGGCGAACACAGACCAACACGGCTGTCACTCCGAAACCTGTGTGTGGCGCGCTTCCCTCCTCACAGTATTTGTGCCTCCTGCTCCAGATCTGACGACAACTTTACAGGTTTCAGAGTAGCAGCTGCGCTAGTCTGCATCCGCAAAAAGAAAAGGAGCCCCCGTGGCACCCCAGAGACCAACCAATCCATCCGAGCACGAGCCCTCGCGAGCCACAGCCCACCCCATCGGATGCACACCGTGGAAACTGCAGAAGACACCATGCACACACAGAGACCACGAAACAACACCTTCCCACACCCCGCTGTCCCGCTGGCAACAGCCTATCCAAAGTGACCACCAAGCTGGGCCACCTCCAGAACAAATCCAGGTCCTCTCAGCTCCCCACCCCCATACACACACAAACTCACTCTCCCGCTGGCTACAGCCCATCCAAAGCGACCACTCTCCCCACAATGTGCATGGTAATCAAGGTGGGCCATTTCCAGCACAAATCCAGGCTCTCTCACACCCCCCCCCTTTTCCGGGGACACACATACACACACAAACTCATTCTCCTGCTGGCAATAGCTCATCCAAACTGACCACTCTCCAAGTTTAAATCCAAGTTTAACCAGAATGTCTGGGGGGGGGGGGTAGGAAAAAACAAGGGGAAATAGGCTACCTTGCATAATGACTTAGCCACTCCCAGTCTCTGTTTAAGCCTAAATTAATAGTATCCAATTTGCAAATGAATTCCAATTCATCAGTTTCTTGCTGGAGTCTGGATTTGAAGTTTTTTTGTTTTAAGATAGTGACCTTCATGTCTGTGATTGCGTGACCAGAGAGATTGAAGTGTTCTCCGACTGGTTTATGAATGTTATAATTCTTGACATCTAATTTGTGTCCATTTATTCTTTTACGTAGAGACTGTCCAGTTTGACCAATGTAAATGGCAGAGGGGCATTGCTGGCACATGATGGCATATATCACATTGGTGGATGTGCAGGTGAACGAGCCTCTGATAGTGTGGCTGATGTTATTAGGCCCTGTGATGGTGTCCCCTGAATAGATATGTGGGCACAGTTGGCAACGGGCTTTGTTGCAAGGATAAGTTCCTGGGTTAGTGGTTCTGTTGTGTGGTATGTGGTTGTTGGTGAGTATTTGCTTCAGGTTGCGGGGCTGTCTGTAGGCAAGGACTGGCCTGTCTCCCAAGATTTGTGAGAGTGTTGGGTCATCCTTCAGGATAGGTTGTAGATCCTTAATAATGCGTTGGAGAGGTTTTAGTTGGGGGCTGAAGGTGACGGCTAGTGGTGTTCTGTTATTTTCTTTGTTAGGCCTGTCCTGTAGTAGGTGACTTCTGGGAACTCTTCTGGCTCTATCAATCTGTTTCTTCACTTCCGCAGGTGGGTATTGTAGTTGTAAGAAAGCTTGACAGAGATCTTGTAGGTGTTTGTCTCTGTCTGAGGGGTTGGAGCAAATGCAGTTGTATTGCAGAGCTTGGCTGTAGACGATGGATTGTGTGGTGTGGTCAGGGTGAAAGCTGGAGGCATGTAGGTAGGAATAGTGGTCAGTAGGTTTCCGGTATAGGGTGGTGTTTATGTGACCATTGTTTATTAGCACTGTAGTGTCCAGGAAGTGGATCTCTTGTGTGGACTGGACCAGGCTGAGGTTGATGGTGGGATGGAAATTGTTGAAATCATGGTGGAATTCCTCAAGGGCTTCTTTTCTATGGGTCCAGATGATGAAGATGTCATCAATATAGCGCAAGTAGAGTAGGGGCTTTAGGGGACGAGAGCTGAGGAAGCGTTGTTCTAAATCAGCCATAAAAATGTTGGCATACTGTGGGGCCATGCAGGTACCCATAGCAGTGCCGCTGATCTGAAGGTATACATTGTCCCCAAATGTAAAATAGTTATGGGTAAGGACAAAGTCACAAAGTTCAGCCACCAGGTTAGCCGTGACATTATTGGGGATAGTGTTCTTGACGGCTTGTAGTCCATCTTTGTGTGGAATGTTGGTGTAGAGGGCTTCTACATCCATAGTGGCCAGGATGGTGTTATCAGGAAGATCACCGATGGAAGTCAGTGGTGTCTCGAAGATAGCTGGGAGTGCTGGTAGCATAGGGCCTGAGGAGGGAGTCTACATAGCCAGACAATCCTGCTGTCAGGGTGCCAATGCCTGAGATGATGGGGCGCCCAGGATTTTCAGGTTTATGGATCTTGGGTAGTAGATAGAATAACCCAGGTCGGGGTTCTCTCGCCCCCCCACCCCCATGCACACGCAGGCTCGCTCTCCTGATGGTGGTGGCTTATCTGGAGTGGTCATCGGGTTGGGCCATTTCCAGCGCAGGTCCAGGTTTTCTCACCCTCCGCCCCC